GGTCTTACATTCGAATTCTGTGAGGTGTCGGAGAAAGGTTGTGGCGCGAGAATTCATAGCTGACGTCTTTCTTTTCACCACCGCTCCTGTCCTCCTGCTTGTGCCAACTTTAGCCATGCATTTGCTTCCCTCCTCTGGGTTGATTCTCACAAAGAATCTTTAAGACAAAAAACAAAACAATAAATTAGTTCTTCAAATATTTCTTGACCCTCTTCATTGATTTTGCTTTTTTTCTGAACTGATACAATACATGTGTCCTAGTACTCCACAATGGAACACCACAAGGAATCAAGTTCAAATAATTAAAAAATCTGAACCACTTAAAAGTACAGTACATTGTACACATAATTACGGTGGCCGGGAGGTGCAAACCAACTTTACAAAATGTGAAACACTTTTACAAAGCTTGAGACAAATTTACATTTTGGAAAACATTTTTACATATCATAAAACAAAATTGCATTACCATAACACATTTACAAGTCCCGAAACAAACTTACATTTTAGAAAACAAATTAACAAGACGTGAAACACTGTTACAAGCGCCGAGACAAATTAACATGAGGCGAAACAAATTCATAAATACAATCTACCGGAAAGGGAACGTCCCAAATCCGGGGTTGACCTGGAAGTGATAACGGGAGCGGGTCAATTCGAGTTGTTGATGTCAATGCACGGAGATGGACAGTGACCGAGTCATGTTTTGCCCGTTTTGTGGACAACATATGAGCCGATTAACGCGGTTTTGTTTTTCGTGTGGTCGGTCTCTACAATGCTTAAGGGGCATGGACCAGACCGGCGGACCAGATATGTTACAGCAGTGCATACAGTATTTTAATGAGGGCCACTTGTACGCTGTAATCGTGGACATGATGTCATGTTTACACGGTGTACACATCAGCTTGAGGTCACTGAAAAGTAAACTGAATGAAGCCGGGTTATATCGCAGAAAGGATTACTCCTCTACAAATGCGATAATTAGGGCCATCCGATTGGAACTTCATGGACCTGGACAGCTGTTTGGCTACCGCATGATGTGGCAGGTACTCAAACAAAAGTACAATCTGCGAATGAAGAGGGATCATGTGATGAATTTGCTTTGGGACCTTAATCCTCGAGGGTGCGAGAGAAGAGCACGCAGAAGGTTTATAAGAAGAACCTACCACTCCATGGGACCGAACTATATGTGGCACTCGGATGGTTATGATAAACTCAAGCCATTCGGTTTGGCCCTTTCAGGGTGCATCGATGGATTTTCACGTAAAGTACTGTGGCTTGCATGTGGACCAACAAATAATGACCCATCAGTGATCGCTCACTATTTCCTGTCATGTGTGCGACACCTCGGTGTCATCCCCATGAGACTGAGGACTGATTGTGGCATGGAGAACGGGACCATGGCTGCAATTCAGTGCACCCTACGCCGCCACCACAATGACTACTACTCTGGAGCATCCAGCCACATGTATGGCTCATCCATGAACAACCAGAGGATTGAGTCCTGGTGGTCCATATTCAGAAAGGGAAGGTAAGGGCCTTCATAAAGTCATTTAATTATATATAACCTTTGATTTCATTCTTCAAACATGCGTATATATGCTTAGAAATTATAATGTATTATTATTATAATAATAATAATTATTATTATTATTATTATTATTAATAATAATAAAATTATTATATCAATTTCTATAGGTGTCAGTTCTGGATGGAGCTATTTGCAGACCTTAGAGATGCCGGATACTTCAACGGGAGTCACGAGCATCAGTGTCTGTTGAGATACTGCTTTGGTGATGTTATTCAGAAGGACTTGGATGAGTGTGTGAGACTGTGGAACAGTCACAGGATTCGCCCCTCCAGAACAGCATCATGTCCAGGAGGAGTGCCCAATGAACTCTACTACTTACCTCACAGGTAATACATTGGTAGCAGATAAATATTTGTATTTATTTTACTTTTGTCTTTAATTTAAATAAATGCAATTATATCTTCTGTTTAACATAGGTTTGGCTCCAGAGACTGTGGATTTAAAATTGAACAGGCTGAACTGGATGCCTTTCCTGAGGCTCACCTGTTAAGAGCTCCATGTGGGGACCCAAACATGCAGGAGTTACTTGGACTTTGCCGTGGAGCACAATCAATTACAGAAGCCAGAGTGCTGGCAGTCTGCAACTGAAATGTATCTGAAACTAAAAGAAATTGCTCAGCTATGAATTGAAATTGATCAAAAAGGGAGGTTTATTGTAATGGTAGAACATAGTGTCTGAATCTGTCACCCACAGCTTCATTATTTTAAATTGGGAAATAAATGAATAAAAAATAAAGTAATGTAATGAGTAATGTTTATTTATTACATTACATTTTTGTATTATAGAAAACAGCATCTCTTGAAATACTTGTTTGCCTTATTTTATCTAAAACAGCGATTCATAAACAGACCACAGTTTGAGCTAACACAGTTTGGAGCTAAAATAACTGTCAAAATGCTGAGAAAACTGACAAAAAAATATATATATATCTCACATATCTTTACATGATAAAAACCCCTTTAACAACAGCAACTGCACCTTTAGGTGCACCTTTAACAACAAAGAACAAACCACATTTTTAAAGTCTGGGCTCTAGGGGTCATCTAGTCATATGGCTTAGAAACAGCCAAATCCTGGACTATTTTGAATTCCAAAGTCCATGTGTGACTTAAACACACTGTATGAGTCTAGGAGTGGTAATTTCAACAAGTTTGAACACGTATTTGCCATTGGGAATGGAGAGTCATCCAGGAACTCTATCCGTGGCAATGGTTCCAAGCCAGATGGGGGAAGTGATGTCAGCCCAGTTGCAAACATCAAAACATCCTCCACAGACACAGCAGCCTGACCTTCTGCAAGGAAAAAAAATGTTTAGATACACCATGGTAATGTGGTTTTCCAACTAGTTACAAAAAACCTTACAAACCTTCACAATCAAGGAGATCGGCCCAGTAGGCCAAGGCTTGACTTTCTTTTAGTCTCCTGTTACTTCCTGAAGGACTGAGGTCAGGTTTGAAGAGTCTCTCAAGTTCGAAGCCAGTGAGTTGCTTTTCAGAGTGGCACAGGACAGGGGGCAGCAAAGTAGGGTGTTGCTGTAGTGCAGTCAAAAACTGAAGGGCTGAAAGACCATCTTTAAATCTACAAAGTGAACACAAACACTGTTTCACTGCTGTGTAGTGCCAACTGCATTTAAATTATCTAAAGAAAGCTATTAAATATTCTCTTCCCTACAATTACAATCCGCCTAAACAAATGTACGTTTGGGGAAAATGGTTGTGTGTTGAACATCACTCTTTTAAATTTTTTTGCCTTGCACATGGCTATGGTAAGTGTTAAAAACTACACAATCACACAGTGGACTGACACAGAGGGTAGGGTGGCGTGGGTACTTATAGATTGGCACAAGCCAGGGAATGGACAGACATACATCACAAAGGCTATTGGTTTTAACACACTAAGGCACAAATTTTGTCACAGTGACTAATTGATAACAGATGTACATGCCATGAGGCATTTCAAACAAAAGATTATTACATAAATACATATAAAAAGAAGAAAATCACATCATTATAAATATGTTACCTGTCAATTCCTGTAGAGCATCCAATGAAGCAGCATTCTCAATCTGAAAGATATATAAAAAAAAGGGGGGGGGGGCATAAACACTCCAGTAAATAACTGTATGTACTGTATATCCTTGCTTATTTTTTATTCAGTGACATACATAGCATGGTGTAATCCTACCCTATGAAAAACTAATAAATGAAGCCAATTCTGTGTATGCAATATTGGAAGTAAACATTATCTTAAAACACTGCAGGATGTAAAACTCTGCCCTATCACACTGTAGCCTTATGCTATTCTCACCTCTTGCAAAGCTTTCCCTATTTCTTCATCAGTTATTAAATTAACTGTTGATTTGAACGAAGGCTGGCCGACAAGATAATGTACAAGATCATCTGACAGGAAATGGGGTCCTGGACCTCCATGTACAACTGACACTGCGATCATCTTTCCTGCCAGGTAGTATTCATCCTCCCTAACAGCTGTGAATGAATTCATATTGCAAAATTAAAACATACATTATATACTTTAAGATATTGCAGAAAAAGCATATGCCATGGGAAATATATGTTTAATGATCATTAACCAACCATTAGTATAGTACACATCTAACCCTATGCATACCATTTGCATTGTAGACCAAGAACCGATGTCCTTCTGGTCCATCAAAAATGGGCCGGTCTTTCAGGTGTTTCATTAGCAGAGTTAAAAACTCTCGTCTTGGACCACCTGTGTCAATTCCCTCCTCAGGAACTCCAGCATCATCAGTAAATCTGACCAGCATGTCACAGGTTTCAGAATATGTTGTACGCTTGAAACCTCTGACTGCTCCATCCCAAACATTAGCTCTTGAGATGTTGAACCTGCTGACTCTTTTGTGATCAGTAGGAAGTGACAAGTTTGCAACAATGTCAGGTAGTGTAATGTTCATCTCCTCCCTGTAATGACAAAAGTGATCTAATTAATAGATATTCCAGACAGTGCACAATTTGCCACTTTTACAAAAATTATTTAAATGCCAGAAATATTGCACAATGAAAACACTAGAATGCCATAGTCAAAAGCTAATTTTACACTGCCGTGTGTTGGAAATTCTCCACATTTACTGCAACCAGCTCCTCCTCCTCCTCTTCCTCCACACCTGGTGCATACAGGTCTGTGTATTTACTGTTGGGAACAATTTCCATGTCAAAACATCTTACTAACAAATTTCTTCCCCATGAGTTAAATTAAAATTATGTGAGTCACTGATTTTTTTTTCTTACCTGTAGCAAGAAGTCTTGTCTGGATTTGTTTCAGGTGGATCCATATCATCAGTATCAGATATTACTATCTGAAAAACAAATTAAAATGTCAAAACAACAATATTGAAAGTTAGATACATCAGGCTGCTGTAGTCTGCCTTATTACCTGTCCAGGCTGAATTGTTGCTGAATGTCCCGGTGCATCTCTGAAACATGATAAAAATTATAAAATTATTAAATTAATTAGTACTGTCCTTCAGGCCTACAACAGTCATCTAAGAATGCAGACATTACGAATACAGCCAAGATTCCTATTGGTTGATTACCACTAGAAAAGACCTCTCATTAAATCTGTTATTTATTTATTTGTTCCTGACAAATGCTAGATGCCAAAATGTACCTACCTTTCTTCTTTAGGTTTGTGTTTGGGAGTACTCTGGTTTTGTGGTTCAAAAACCTGAGAGGAAATGCATAAATTGTAATAAAATTTTTAATAGCTTCCATAATTGTTCCCTTACCACATACAGTATATATCAATGGTGAAAGGTTGTCAGTATTGTCATAGATAAATCAATAAATACATTCATACATAAATAAGTATTAAAAAAATAAATAAATAATTGATGTACCACAGTGTCAGCTCGATTGAATTCAGCTGTGCTCCTTGATGCAATGACAATTTCAGAATCAGAGTGTGAGGTATCATCCACTGCTGTAATAACAAAAAATTCAACAGATTATGTAGATACTGTACATGTATCCTACAGTAAAGTATCTAAAATATGTAAAAAATATTGAATCATGAGATCCACTAACCTCCTTTAAAGTGTGTTTCTAGGCAAATGAAAAAGGTAATCCTGGAATATGGCTTTCCTAGTTCCTTTTTATACTCTGCCAATTTGAATTGCTTTTCTGACCCAGGCACATGGACCACCTCTGAGCAGTCTGGATACAAAAGGACGTACGGTCCTTCTTGCATGTCCTTGTTAAATTGTCTCATTTTCTGGACAGCTTGTTTCAGTACATCAGATGCTGCTACCTTTGGTTCCACAAATAACGGGAGTGTTTTCCCTCTTAGAGGTTTTAAAGCAGTTTCATCAGTTCCATCTGGCACCATCAATCCGATGTTTATCTAGCAAAATAACACAGATAAGATTAATTTTATGTATTATGCACAGGTAAAATAAAAGATTATACATACATACGTACATATACATACATCAGTGTTTCCCATAAATTATGCAGAATGTGGTGTCTCTCCATGGTCTAATTTGTGCTACCAGTTTCACAGTGAGTCGAATATGTCTATACACTCAGATGCCTCCGTCAAAGATATATATATATATATTTTAATTTACTTTAATCTGTACGATGAATCAACTATGATACTGATACACTTCTGAGTCATCTCGTGTCAGATAGTCGAGTACTGATAAGCTAAGACAGTCAGTACAACTTACCTGGACGTGTTTTCTTTCCTTAGCCCTGTGTCTTCCTTTCGGCCCATAGTTAAATGACTGACGCTCTTTTGACTTTGAGCTTCTGTACTCCAGGAACTGTTTGTAAGATGGGCAAGGTTTTTCTGCTGAAATAAACAAAGTTCTGTTTCAAAATAGAAACTTAGCAGCCGCTTACCAATAGCACTATTCACTTTCATTTACAGACTTAAGATAGCTAGTGTTATGCTGCACTTACTTTGTTTAGGGTTGTCCGGCTATTGAGATGTCCCCCGTCCTTCCGTCTGGTCGGCACCATTTAAAAACTCTAACGACTGACCACACGAAAAACAAAACCGTGTTAATCGGCTCATGTGTTTGCCACAAAACGGGCAAAACATGACTCGGTCGCTGTCCATCTCCGTCCATTGACATCAACAACTCGAATTGACCCGCTCCCGTTATCACTTCCAGGTCAACCCCGGATTTGGGACGTTCCCTTTCCGGTAGATTGTATTTGTAAATTTGTTTCGCCTCTTGTTAATTTGTCTCAGCGCTTGTAAAAGTGTTTCACGTCTTGTTAATTTGTTTTCTGAAATGTAAGTTTGTTTCGGGACTTGTAAATGTGTTATGGTAATGTAATTTTGTTTTATGATATGTAAAAATGTTTTCCAAAATGTAAATTTGTCTCAAGCTTTGTAAAAGTGTTTCACATTTTGTAAAGTTGGTTTGCACCTCCTGGCCACTGTACCGACCTGAGTAAGCCCGAAGGGTCGAGTCGGTTTGGGCCGGCTAATTAAGTTAACTGGGCGGGCTGAGTCGGGCTCGGACAGCGGAGAGAGAGAGAGAAAAACAAAGAAAAAAAGTGTGTCTGTATGTCAGAGAAGCGCACTATGTGAGGGTGTGACAGCACTAACACACAATGCTGCTGTCCATGGTTCTGATTTTGAAGTCTGTCTCTGTTATCAACATTTTTTCTACTTGTAAATATGTAGCTTTTCATCATTTTGTTAATCCATCATCTCCAGTTTGCTGTAAGCTGTGGTGAATGTAGAAGAAGCGCAGCGTCACAGAAAACCTACTGACCAATGGCAGCTAAAGTTAACGTGTGAGAGGAAGACGACAAGATGGAGTTGATGACGGTAAAAACACAAAATAGCCACGGGGGAATATACACTGGTCTCCCAGGAGGGGAGGAAGTCTGATGTTTGGAAGAAATTTGCTTTGGTTGTGAACTTGGATGGCAACTCGACTGGCTACGTGCAGTGCTCAACGTGTAAACTTTTGCTCAAATACGAGAGCAAGAAAACGGGTACATCTAAGCTGAACCGCCATATTAACACCTGTGCCGGGCCCGGCACATCATCATTTGGCCAAACATCAATGTTCACATTTGTGATGAAAAGTGATGCTGCTCTTCCCCGCAAAACAAAGCAGTCAGTGACAAAAAAGTGTGTGCATTTTTGTGCCAAAGACATCTGACCATTTAACATTGTGCAGGGTGAAGGCTTTGTGTAACTGGCACAAGAGCTAATTAATGTGGGTGAGACGCATGGGAGAGTCCCTGCCAGCTCGGTTTTACCAAATCCGAACACAGTTGCCACACACTGTACAGCTTTGGCTGAAGAAAAAAGAGAAGCATTTACAACAAAAATAAAAGATGGAGATGGAGGCACAATCGGAATGTCAACAGACATGTGGACGGACGATTTCCACAAGCTTAGTTATTTATCAATAACTTGCCACTATGTTACAGAAGAGTTTGAACTGGTTGGGAAAAATCTGACGACAGCCATGTTCCCAATTGAAGAAAGAAAGACGGGGGATAATATTTGACGAGAGATCGTGAAGCTCCTGGTCACCAAGTTTGGATTTGACCCACTTTCACTGAGCAACATTGTTTGGGTGACTGACCAGGGGGCGAACATCGTTAATGCGCTTCGCCCATACAAAAGGATGGACTGCCAGGATCACGTCCTTAACACAGTGCTCAGACATGGCCTGGATTCTGACGCGCTGACCGAGCATGCACCTGACATTGCTGAGACACTGACCACAGCCAAAGCGCTAGTAAAATATGTCAAGCAATTGGGACTGGCAGCGCAGCTTTTCAAAACTCTGCTGCAGATGGTTGACACAAGATTCAGCACTGTTTACATGACCCTAAAATCTGTGCATGATGTCTATACAGAAATACACGAGAAGGTGGAGGCTCGTGGAGAGAGCGAAAAAGTGGAGAAAATAGCCCCCGACACACTGGGCTTTCTTGTGGATTTTTTGAAGCTATTTTATGATGCGCAGCGCGAACTGGAGGGGGACAAATATCCTACTCTAAACTTGGTGTGTCTTTGGTCAGAGAGACTGAAGCGTCACTGCCAACCCCATGCCCAAGACTCAGCACAGCAGGCTGTTGTGCGTCAGCACCATGCGTTATGGTTGGAGAAGAAAGTCCAAATCACTGATCTACACAAGGCTGCAACCTTCCTGTGGCCCAAGTTTAATCAGCTACGGATGCTACCCAGTGATCAAAGGGCAGATGTGCGCGACTATGTGAAGTCCCGTCTGTCAGTGCCGACAGTGGCAAGAGTAGAGGATGTGGAAGAAGAGGTGGGTGCGTTTGCGTCTACAGCTGTGGTGCCACCACCGGCCTCCAAGAAAACGTGTGAATCTTTGGAGTGGGAAAATGTTGTCGGAGGACCAGAAGACGCGGAGGATGATGAGGTGGAGAGATACATCACCCAGAGCCAGTGATGACTGACGAACGGGACCTACTGGGCTGGTGGAAGGCAAATAGCATGGTATATCCGAGGCTCTCCCAGTTGGCAAGACAGGTGCTGTGCGTGCCAGCTAGCAGCAGCAGCAGCAGCGAGAGGATCTTTAGTGTGGCTGACCGTACAATAGAGGAGAGGAGGACGGGCCTCGAACGGGCGCATTATTATTCCTCCGTGGTGTGTTGTAAAGAAGCGTTCTTTATGTAAGTAGTACATGTTCATTGCATTTTTTTCAATATTTGGCATGGTTAATAAGTGACTAAAATAGTGTAAATTTATTTTCAGGCTCTGTGGTGTGCCAATGTTGCACCCGGGATTCCCAGCCGGCCGGCCCGGTCCTAACGAAAGCAGACTTTAAAAACACAGCAGCCACTGATTTTATTTGTTTCACATTTTATTTGGAGATTTTTTTATTTATTATTTGGGCCAATTATTAATGGTACACAGCAGCCACTAATTTTATTTGTTTCACGTTTTATTTTGAGATTTTTAGGGCCCGAGTGACGACAAAGTCGTCCGTGAGGACCCTATTGTAATCACGCTGTTTATTATTATTATTATTAGGGCCCGAGTGACGACAGAGTCGTCCGCGGAGGACCCTATTGAAATCATGCTGTTTATTATTATTATTATTCAGACATTTCGTGTTTCAAATTTCAAAATGCTTCTAACTTTCCACATTCGTCCAGCCACATCCAAAATTCGATATCTTTGGGAGGTTGCACATGGTCGACGCGAAATGCCGAAATAGCGCCCCCTACAAATTTTCAAAAAACTCTCCCCATTGGGGTTAGTTTGTCGTAGGCAAACGAAATTTGGTCCACACATGTATCATACCGAGACGCACAAAAAAGTGTCTTGACATCATGGCAAAATCCCAACAGGAAGTCGGCCATTTTGATTTTTTTTGTTATGGCGATTTCCACAACTTAAATTTGAATGAACTCCTCCTAGGGATTTCGTCCGATCGACTTCAAATTGGCTACAGATCATCCAGAGACCATGATGATCAATGTCTGTAGGTCAAAGGGCGTGGCTGCTAGGGCATGACAAATTTTGGCGACATTTCAGTTTCTCGCTATCGAATTTTGAACGACTCTCACTCCCACATACTTGATCGTAGCAGCTTCAAACTTGCTGGACATGATGATGGCACAGCACTGAATTCCCCAATAAGTTACTCATAGCACCCCCAGGTGGAAACAGGAAGTGACCTCCTCCCTCGCCACAAAATACGTTTGGCTTTTTGATGACTTCAGCGACCTCATATCCTTATGAAAATTGATACACAGGTCAAGAATGGCGAGCTCTTACATCTGATAGGGGCGTTGCCCATGGGGGGGGGGGGGGGGGGGGGGGGGGGGGGGGGGGGGGACAAAATGCCTCTATAGCGCTTCCTTGAAATTTTCAAAAACCCCTCCCCATAGGGATTTTTTTGGAGTAGGAAAATAAGTTTGGTACGCACATGTATCATACCGAGACACAC